ACCTTTGTAATAACATCACCATGAAATGGACTCTCCCCACCCCCTCCACAGGGTTTGAAAAAGGAGTCAATCATTAAATAACGCCTATAGTCAAACAGCTAAGAAGGCCTGGCTTCAAAGACCTATGGGGACTTCCCTGGCAGTTGAGTGGTTAGCACTCTGCACTTTCACTGCTGAGGGCACAGGTTCAGTCCCTGGTGGGGGTGAGGGGAGTGGGGAGGTGGGGACCAAGATCTCACAAGCCGTGGAGGGGCGGGCGGGGAGAGAGGGGAGGAGGACTCAGGCCTTCAATACGGGTTTCTGTGCTTTCCTGACATTGTGGTTAGGAGCCATTAATATACTTTGAAACGCTACACCGTAATTAGGGCTGCAACCCCAGCTCCGCAGAAGACTTGACTTGAAAGACCGGAGTCATCTCTGACCTCACACATCTCCACCCTCTTCATCCCTGAGATCAATCTAGTGACCAATATAACAAGCCCCTTCCAGACCTCCTTCAGACTGTATGCCAGCTCTCCTGCCAAGTTTCTATTCCAAACACACTTGGAGCCCAGTTCTACTCCAAGTCCCTATTAATTGATGTCTAGTCCCTCCTCTAATTTAGCCCACATGTCTGGCATATCCTCCCACTCCGTTTTTCTACTATGATCTACCAAACTCAGGCTTCTAGTCCTCCCAAAGAGGAATGCGCTGGGTCCCCTCACTTCCTCCCCAACTCAGTATCCCCCAGCATCACCCAAGGTGAGCGAGTCTCCTCTCTATTTCTTGCTTCACCTGCCTCCAAACTTTTGCTCATGCAACTTTCTCGGCCTGAAACTCTCTCTCCCTTCCCAAAGTCCCGCAAGGCTGGTCTTTGTGGTATTCCAGGACCCCCCACTCCCCCCGCCAACCCCGGCTTGAATACTATAGCGCTCACAGCCTGTATCACGTGTTCGGTTCCAGCACAGTTGACTGTCTTAGGTTGCCCTAAGATTCCTAGAATCAGCTTCATCTAACTCAAACACGCATTAAACACTGATTACATGACAAGTACCATGACAGACACTGAAGGAAAAGGAAGCAAAGACTAGATGATATTACAGTCTAGGGAAGAAGACAGACACAAAGATTTCCATCGTGGAAAGTGTGGCACATAGGTGTTTGACTGATGAGATGGTTGGATGGCATCAACGACTCAATGGATAAGAATCTGAGCAAACTCTGGGAGATAGTGATGGACAGGGAAGCCTGGCAGGCTGCAGTCCATGGCGTCGCAAAGAGTTGGACATGACTTAGCGACTGAACAATGACAACAACATACAATTCTGACATCAGAGACAGAGAGTTCTAACGAGCCTAAGTACTCCTAGGTCCGAGGACAGCAACTTGAATTTTCGTCCTTGGTCTTTTTTCAGTGCCTACCCTCATGCTTGCTTTTTTTTCAGTAACTGGTTAACAGAGAAGTGATTCCTGATTTTTCTCAAGGCGACCTAGTCCTCTTGGCAAAAGATCCTGCTTCAAAGTATGGAGACCAAAGTTTGGGAAAATTGCCCAGAAACTGCCCTCAGCTGACGGGTGAGCAGTCAACCAACACGTACTGCTTTCTGGCTTGATTTATACACTGATCTAGACATTGTGGGGAAACAAAAAGTAAAAGTAGTTTTTGTCCAGAGAGACTTCTGGGTTAAAGTTGGGAAAAAAGTAATTAGCTACTAAACTTTGCTAAACCCCTGCTTCTTAGCCTCCAGCATGGGTTAGAAAGTTTTCACCACCTCTTCAGCCTCCGCTCAAATATTTGACCTCTGTGGGCCAACGGAGATTGATATTTCCGTGAAGACACCATGCTGGACTGGCCAGGCAGGAACAACTTTCTATCTACTCTGCAAAATGGTGTTTGGGATTGTCTTCCAGGTAACTGTCCTCCATGCCAAAGAGGCCTCTTCCCCACCAGGCACGTCTCCCCCTGCCCCATTTCACCAACAGCTGATGCTGTAAGAGGCTAATCCTCCATCTGCCTTGACTCTCCATGTACCTTTTTTTATTTTTTTAAAAAGTCTTCACTGAATTTGTTACAGCACTGCTTTTATGTTTTGGTTTTTTGGCAGGGAGGGAAGTGGGATCTCAGTTCCTTGACCAGGGACTGAACTCGCACCCACTGCATTGGAAGCTGACCACTGGATCGCCAGGGAAATTCCACCCTGTACCTTTCCTCAGCTGTATCCTGGCATCCATAGGGTCCCAAAGAACCTCATTTGGTTCCCTTGCATGGCAATAACCACGGACAACGCAGAGGGTTTGCATGTATGCACTCTGAAGGCACTCTGGCCTCAGCATCGTATCAGTTTATTTTGATCATCTGACCTTGCCGAGAGGCTTTCCCTGGGGCTCCAGGACTGAGTCAGCGAGTTGGGACTTTCTATGATAAAGAGGTGTGGGTGAGAAGAGCTTCATGACTAAGAGGAGATGGTCCACTTGCTTGCCTTCTGATCAAAGAAGTAGACAAAAAATACACTGGGCTAAAAGCTGACAGTGGTGTACCTTTTCCTCTGAACTTATAAGGAAAGAATTTTTAACCCCAGGAATGACAGGCTCCAGATATTTATCACAAAGGTGTTTGGGGAGGGATTGCTTCTTCCCTGGAGTCAGAGAACAGTCCTTTCTCCATCACTTTAAGAAGTAAAAAGAAACACAACACTGTAAGTCAACTGTGTTGTTGTTTAATCACTGAGTCATGTCCAACTCTTTTGCGACCCCATGGACTGTAGCCCGCCAGGCTCCTCTATCCATGGAATTCTCCAGGCAAGAATACTGGAGTGGGTTGCTATTTCCTTCTCCAGGAGATCTTTCTGATTCAGGGATCAAACACGTGTCTCCTGCACTAGCAGGGCCATTCTTTACAATTGAGTCACCTGGGAAACCCAAGTCAACTATAAATCAATAAGAAATAAATACATGTTTTATAAAGTGGAAAGATGAAGCAGCAAGTGCTCTGCTGGTCTAAAAACCTATGAAAGGGGGCGGCCCAGAACCAGGGCTAGTGTTCACTGACAGCTAGCTACCTTGGTTCTTCTCCTGAAGTCTGTTCCATTGTTTCCCCCGACCTCTGAAAGCCTTGACATCAGAATGTCTCATCCCCCAGCTCGCGGGCTGGGAGCTGGAGTGACGTCAAGAGAAGGGCTGGCCAAGAACGACCAGGGGATCTGGGAAATGCTTCTCTTTCCCAGCCAACGGGAATCTTTCCCAGATGCGGGGGTTCACTGTCCTCCCCCACCCCCACCCCCGCCCCCACTCCAGCTATGCCTCCGATCACACACACAGCTTGGTTCATTTTCAGGAAATTAGATCCTACCAGCTAGAGGAAGAGGGGGATGGGAGCCCCTCAGACACAGGCTGCCCAAACCCTGCCTTAAAACAAAAGGCTCTTGAAATAATTAATGCAAGATCTGGCAAGAGTCTGCTCTCAAGAATGGATCCCCCCCCCCCCCTCCACTAACTAGCCAGCCTACCCTACTCAGAGATAAGGCCAGCTGCTTCTTTCTCCCTGCCCCTGGCCCCTGCCCGCCCTTCCCCCCTTTCTCCAGAAACTCTCCAAGCTTTAGAACAAGGCATTCAAGATCCCAGGGTCACTGGAGGGTATTAGCAGCCAAAGTTTTGAACTGACCGCCTAGAAGGGCGTCTCTTCAGGTAGCCTGGACAAGGATTCAGCCCCAAGCCCAACCTGTAGTCAGGGAAACTGTTAAAAAGCCTAAATGTGAGATGCATTTAGCACCAGCCAGGCTGGGGAGGAAGGGGAGACTGGGTCCGGAGGCGCGGACACCACTGAGGCACAGGAGCTGGTGCCGTGGTCTGGCCTTGGGGCTAGTGAGCACAGCTCCCCAGGCAAGCCCTGCATTCAAGGGGAGCCGGGCGCCAGGAGATCTACACGGCTTTATCAATCCAATAAAGGCACGCTCATTAATCCGGCGTCATCCCCGGGCACAAAGCCCCGCAGCAGCCGGTGCGAAGCCAACAAAGGCGCAGGGGAAGCCGCCCCCGCGCCCCGTCCTGCACGCTGCATTGTATACATATTTAAAATAGCCTGCAAAGTTTCAGACCAGGAACTTGAGCTCCCTCTAGGAGATCCGAGCCCGAGCGCGGATTTAATTCTCCGCCGACAACCACAACAAAGAACAAGAGTCGGAGCGCACAAAGGCGAGGAGGGAAGCGGGTATGAGTGCGGAGCCGCCACACAAAGGCCGGGAACCCCTCGGCTCCCACGACCCCCGCCCGCTCGAGAGATCCTTCTCGGCCCTGGAGTGAAACCTGGATTTTTTTTTTTTTTCCCCTTTCAAATTCCGCGCTGTGCAGAGCAAGAGTTGAGCGCCAGGACGCCTCCTCGTCGGTCCCACTGCAGTAAAAACTTGGCTCGAGAGGGAGAAGGACCCCTCCGATCTGAAACCTGGCGCCCCCCTCTCCTTGGCTCCGGCCAGCCCCACGTCCCTTGCACCCCCGACCCCCGCAAGGCCCCGGACTCACCGTTACACCACTGGAATGGGTGCATCAATGAACTCTCGGCTGGCTTCCTCGGGCGAACGAAGGCAGGCGCGGGGCGGGCAGGCGGGGTGGGCTTGCCGGTCGGTGGGGTCGCAGGAGGGGCCGGTGCGGTGCGCGGGCGGCCGCCCTTCCGCTGCAAGTGGAACTCCCTCCGGAGCCGGGAGCTCCGCCGCGATGGGTTTTTGGAGCCACAAAGAGGAAAGAAGAGAAAAGAGACAGAAAAGTCTCCCGGCTCTAAGGACCGCGGAGGAAAGGCAGGAAGGGCCCGGGGGCTGGAGCGGGCTGCGGGGCGCCAGGTGGGCAGAGGAGGGGAAATAGCCCTAGGCAGAGGCGCGCCCCGTACGCCGCCGCACGGAGGTGAGACGCCAGGGACTCCGAAACTGACACGGTGCACGCACACCCCCTCCCTTATACTGCGCCCGCCCCACCCCGTCACCCGCCCTCAGCCAATGGGAGCCTTCCTCCGGCCCCCGGCATTGCTTGCAGACCCGCCCCATCCGAGTGTTGGGAGCATCCTTGAGGCTTGGGCGCCTCCTCTTCACCTGCAGTTCAAAGACGGTCTGGCCGCGCGCTGGCCTGAGCAGCCCGGAGCCAGCCTCCTCCGCTCGTGACCTGGAGAAAACTGAACAATTAGTGCCACATTGTTTTCGTCCTCCAGATCGGTTACTGTTTAGCATTTCTCTAGCTCTTCGAGAAAGCCAGTTCGAGGGAGTGGTTCCATTTCTGTACAGAGGGCAAGACGACGTGGTCTTAGGTGGCGGGCTCTCACGTTTCTGAAAAAGAATATATGTACACAAATATATTTGAGTCACTTGGCTGTACATCCGAAAGTAACACAACATTGTAAATCAACTGTACTCCAATAAAATCATTAAGTAAGTTAGTAATAAAGTTGCTGAATAAAATTCCACTATATGAACGCAACACAACTTCTTCGTTCACCTGTTGCTGGACGTTTGAGTTATTTCCAGCTTGGGACTATTAAAAATAAAGCTTTTGAGAACAAAATAAACAAAAAGCGAAAAAGGGACTGAAGCCAAGATTTAAAGCAGGTGAATTATGAAGAGGAGATCTGAAAAGTGCTTTAGTTGTCATCTTATGCCTCCGCCCACCCCACCCTCCCGCATCAGTTTAAGCTTAAGGTAGACTCGTCAGGGCTCTAGGCTCCTGAATAGCAGAATCAAACCCAGACACCGACATTGGCAGTATCATAAGGGCAGCATCTTCAGCATTTATCACTGCACAGGTATTGAATTAATAGTAGCTAGAAGAAAGACTGAATCTCTTAATTCCCTGTCCAATGTGATGGTTTTTTTTTTTTTACCAGACATTCCATCATTTCTTTCTGTTTCTCTCTCATTCTTTCCCTTCCTGCCTGCCTTTCTTTTCGTCCCTCCCTCCCTTTTTCCTTCCTTCCTTCCCTCCCCATCTCTCCCCTCATTTCTCTCTTCCTCTGCCTCCTTTTCCCTTACTTTGTCTGTCTTTCTTTCATTTACTCAGAATATATTAATCAAGAGCCTACTCTGGGACAAGCACTGTTTAACTGGAGAGCCATTAATGAATGTCCTCAAGCCTGTTCTCCTGGGATTTACATTGCATAAGAAGATAAAACAGTAAGGAAACAGAAACAGAAAGTCACATAGTCGTGTCTGGCTCTTTGCGATCCCATGGATTATAGCCCGCCAGGCTCCTCTGTCCATGGAATTCTCCAGGCAACAGTCCTGGAGTGGGTTGCCATTTCCTTCTCCAGGGGATCTTCCTGATCCAGGGATCGAACCCAGGTCTCCTGCATTGCAGGCAGATTCTTTACCAACTGAGCTACTATGGAAGCCCCTATAAACAGTAAGCAAGCAAGGAAACAAATAAGAATGACTCAATTTTATCTTCCTATTCAACTTAATGTCCCATTGGAAGGTGAAAAATACTTTCCCTGACTCTTGAGAGTTTGTAACACTTAAATAAGACTATGCAGATGAGTCCTCTGCCATTTAATAGCATGATGGTTACGCTATCAAAGGATCTGACCAAGATCACTTAGCAGTCTGCAAAAATAGGTTAGCACTTACTAGGTTAGCAGTTGTCTGAAAACGATCATTTTCTTTCTGAGCTACTCTGGAAGGGCATCATGTACAGATCCAACTGATTTCATCTCCTAATTGGACACCTACAAAAACTTCCTAATTGGTCTCAGTCTACAAACATGAACTTGCATGCTCTGTTGTGTCCGACCCTGTGTGGCCCCATGGACTGTAGCCCGCCAACCGTCTCTGTCCATGGGATTTCCCAGGCAAGAATACTGGAGTGGGTTGCCATTTCTTTCTCCATCTTGCCACAGTGCAGAGGATTTAAAAAGACAAAACAGTTGTGTTGTTACTTACCCAATAGTTCTGTTTAATGGTTCAGGTGAAAGGTGTTGATAGGTGAGCTGATGGATTGAGGAATTCTGCTGGGTGCCTCTAGGGCACACCTGTGAATGGCAAGCTTTTGAAGGGGAAACCGACTGGAAATAAGGAATACCTCTTCCCTTCCTTAGGCTAAGGAACCCAGGTGAGAAAACAGGATTCTCGCTAGACCCTCCAGAAAGGAAGGCAGCCCATCTGACACCCTGATGTTAGCCCAAGAAGACCTGTGTCAGTCTTCTGACCTACAGAGCTGTAATATAATAAAGTGAAAGTGAAAGTTGCTCAGTCATGTCTGACTCTTTGCGACCCCATGGACTATACAGTCAATGAAATTCTCCAGGCCAGAATACTGGAGTGGGTAGCCTTTCCTCTCTCCAGGGGATCTTCCCAACCCAGGGATCGAACCCAGGTCTCCCGCACTGAAGGCAGATTCTTTACCAGCTGAGCCACAAGGGAAGCCCATAATGTAATAAATCTGTTGTTTAAAAAAAAAAAAAATCTACCTTCCAATGCAGGGGATGTGGGTTTGATCTCTGGTTGGGGAACTTTCCTGGAGGCTCAGATGGTAAAGTGTCTGCCTACAATGCGGGAGACTCAGGTTCAATCCCTGAGTTGGGAAGATTCCCTGGAAAAGGAAATGGCAACCCACTCCAGTATTTCTGCCTGAGAAAACCCATGGAGGGAGGAGCCTGGTAGGCTACAGTCCATGGGGTCACAAAGAGTAGGACACGGCTAAGCGACTTCACTTTCACTTTCACTTTGGGGAATTAAGATCCCACATGCCACTGGGCAACTAAGCCTACAAGCCACAATGAGAGATTCCCACAACTAAGGCCTGATGCAGCCAGAAGAAATAAATTAATAAATAACTAATTAAATAAATTAATTAGTAAAGATTATTAGTTAATAATAAATAAATTAAAAATGATTAATTTTTAAAACAGTTGATTTCTTTTTTATTAATTGGAGGCTAATTACTTTACAATATTGTAGTGGTTTTTGTCATACATTGATATGAATCGGCCACGGATTTACATGTATTCCCCATCCCAATCCCCCCTCCCACCTCCCTCTCCACCCGATCTCTCTGGGTCTTCCCAGTGCACCAGGCCTGAGCACTTGTCTCATGCATCCAGCCTGGGCTGGTGATCTGTTTCACCCTAGATAATATACATGTTTCGATGCTGTTCTCTCAAAACATCCCACCCTCACCTTCTCCCACAGAGTCCAAAAGTCTGTTCTATACATCTGTGTCTCTTTTTCTGTTTTGCATATAGGGTTATCGTTACCATCTTTCTAAATTCCATATATATGTATTAGTATACTGTAATGGTCTTTATCTTTCTGGCTTACTTCACTCTGCATAATGGGCTCCAGTTTCATCCATCTCATTAGAACTGATTCAAATGAATTCTTTTTAATGGCTGAGTAATAGTCCATGGTGTATATGTACCGTTGATTTCTGCAAATCAAAACCACAATGAGGTACCATCTCATGCCAGTCAGAATGGCTGTCATCAAAAAGTGTACAAGCAATAAGTGCTGGAGAGGGTGTGGAGAAAAGGGAACCCTCTTATACTGTTGATGGGAATGCAAACTAGTACAGCCACCATGGAGAAAAGTGTGGAGTTCTTAAAAAACTGGAAATAGAACTGCCGTACAACCCAGCAATCCCACTGCTGGGCATACACACTGAGGAAACCAGATCTGAAAGAGACACGTGCACCCCAGTGTTCATCGCAGCACTGTTTATAATAGCCAGGACATGGAAGCAACCTAGATGTTCATCGGCAGACGAATGCATAAGGAAGTTGTGGTACATATACACAAGGAAATATTACTCAGCTACAAAAAAGAATGCATTTGAGTCAGTTCTAATGAGGAGGATGAAACTGGAGCCTCATACAAAGTGAAGTAAGTCATAAAGAGAAACATGAATACAGTATATTAACACACACACACACACACACACACACACACATATATATATATATATATATGGAATTTAGAAAGATGGTAACGATGGCCCTATATGCAAGACAGCAAAAGAGACCCAGGTATGAAAACCAGACTTTTGGACTCTGTGGGAGAAGGCAAGGGTGGGATGATTTGAGAGAATAGCATTGAAACATGTATATTACCATAAAATAGATGACCAGTGCAAATTCAGTGCATGAAGCAGGACATTTAAAGCCGGTGCCCTGGGACAACCCAGAGGGATGGGGTGGGGAGGGAAGTGGGAGGGAGTTCAGGATGGGGGGGACACATGTACACCTGTGGCTGACTCATGTCGATGAATGGCAAAGACCACCACAATATTGTAAAATAATTAGCCTCCAATTAAAATAAATAAAATTTTTAAAAGAGCATAAAAAGTTGATTTCTCACATTGTATCAATATAGTTTAAATAACTCACCTTCCCCCCAACCTCAACCAATGATGCCCAGCTTCTTGTGAATCAGGAGAGAAGTCTGGTTACTTCATGATGATGAAACGGAGACAGTGAAGAAGATGTTGGCTTATACATCCAAAGCCGAAGCCACTTGAGAAGTCTGAAGTAGAATTATGTTTCTAAATCTTCCACGGCAAAAAGGAAAAGTAATATTGAAGACTGAACTTCCAGAAAACCTTCTGAGGAGTCAGGGACTCTTCATTTCCAAGGTCCCACTTCAGCATCCTCTTACAAACCCTAGAAGCCCCTTCACTTTATGGCCTTGTTAGCACTAGAGAAATGCATTTTGGAGAGAGTGCTAATTCTGTGGAGGAACATGAGGCCAGAAACCTTGATCCCATCATTTCACCTTTACGAAGACTCTTCCACCAGCCTCCATATCCAGCCCTAAAATGTGGAAGAGAATGCTAACCATGGTTGGTTGTAAAAAGATTCAGACTCAGGCTAAGTCACTTCAGTCGTGTCCGATTCTTTGCAACCCCATGGGCTATAACCTGCCAGGCTCCTCTGTCCAAGGAATTCTCCAGGCAAGAATACTGCAGTGGGTTGCCACGTCCTTCTCCAGGAACTCTCCAACCCAGGGATCAAGCCTGAGTCTCTCATGTCTCCTGCATTGCAGGCAGATTTTTTTTTTTAAACTGGGGAAGCCCAGTAAAAAGTGATAATTAACCCCAAATAAACATGTCATACTTCACAATTAGACACACTGTCATATTTCCTCAAGTCTTTTCATTTTTTTAAGAGAACAATTTTCATAAGAATATTCAATTCTTGGAAGCAGTTTAGAGTTATTTATTATATATTTAGGCTAACGAGGCCTTTCCCTCATTTAATTCTTAGAAGATCCAGCCTTTCTCTGGAAGTCTCCCTACCAAAATGTTTTTAGGATGATTGAAGCAAATTGTCCCCCCTTTTATTTATTTATTTTTGGCCGTGTTAGGTTTTCGTTGCTGCACAAGCTTTTCTCTAGTTGTGACAAGGGGGGGGGGGATCTACCCTCTAGCTATAGTATAAGAGCAGCAATTTGTCCCTGCCCCTGGGTTCGATCCCTGGGTTGGGAAGATCCCCTGGAGAAGAGAATGGCTACCCACTCCAGTATTCTTGCCTGGAGAGTCCCATGGACTGCATGGTCCACAGGGCTGCCAAGAGTCAGACACGACTGAGCAACTTTGACTCACTCACTCCTGCTTCCCAGGTGACACTGGTGGTAAAGAAGTCGCCTGCCGCTGCAGGAGACACAAGAGACTTGGGTTTGATCCCTGGTTCAGGAAGACTCCCTGGTGAAGGGAATGGCAACCCACTCCAGTATTCTTGCCTGGAGACTCTCGTGGACAGAGGTGCTTGGAGGGCTACAGTCCATGGGGTCGCAAAGAGTCAGACACGATTGAAGTGACTTTGCACGCACCCACGTGCTGCCCCTAGCTCCCAACCCACCTGGGAAATCCAGTAAAGAGAATAAGAGAACTTCCTTGATGCCCCAGTGGTTACGACTTCGAGCTTCCAGTACAGAGGACTCGGGTTCGATCCCTGGTGAGGGAACCGAGATCCCACATGCCTTGCAGTACAGCCAAACAGAAAAAAAAAAAGAGAGAGAGAGAGAGAATCAGGCTTTGGTGTGACCCTGGAAGCAAAGCTTCCTTTCTCTTTCCTAGAGGATCCTCGGTGCTGGGGTGATGCCCACACTCTCCCCAGGAATCTCCTAAGCATTCCTGATGGAGTTTCTAGGTGTCCTCGGAGGCTGGAAGGAAACAGGCTAGCTTGGTTTCCCAGGGATCCTTCACAGCTCTGCTGTGAATTAGGATTTCTGGAACCAAAGAATCCTCTAGGCCAGAGCGGAACCATCATCCCATACGTGAGAGTGGAGATTGGAGAATAAAACAGAGGATGAGAGAGAAACACCTTTGACAGAGCACCTAGAGCATGCCAAGCCCAGTATTCAGCACTTCACATTTTTTCATGGATTCTTCACCAGAACCCTCAGGGTAAGGTTATTTTCTACTTTTTCTATTTTCTTTTTTTTCTTTTTTCTGGCTGCACCATGAGACATTTGTAATCTAGTTCCCTTATCAGGGATCAAACCTTCACCCCCTGCATTAGAAAGTGAGGTCTCAACCACTGGACCACTCCCCATCCATTCATTTTAAAATACTCCTGCCTTAAAAATGGGGAACCTTGGGCTTTCCTGGTGGTGCAGTGGCTAAGACTACATGCTCCCAATGCAGGGGGCTTGGGTTCGATCCCTGGTCAGGGAACTACACCCCACCTGCAGCAACTAAGAAGATCCTGCATGCTACAACTGAGACCCAGCGCAGCCAAATAAATAGAATAAAATGGCAAAACAAAGCAACGGCAAAACAGAGAGGCTACTTCCCATTGTCTTGAGATTGGGCTGGGCTTACTTGTATTTGTTAGAAACCAGCTGAGTGAAGTAGGGGTGACAGTGGTTGATTTCGGAGACTGGGTCATAAAAATTCACTGTGATTTCTTTCTCTCTTGCTTCCTCTCTTCCTGGCTTTGTCTGTCTGTCTGTCTGTCTGTCTGTCTGTCTCCCTCTGGTCACTTGCTCTGGGGAGGTCAGAACTCACGTCCCATGGACACTCACCTGTGGAGACGTCCCACGGCAGGGAACAGAGGTCTCTCGAGCAGCTGTGTGAACGGACATTCTGCCTTTGACCATGTCCTAGCTGCAGACTCTCGGGAGACCCTGAGGCAAAACCACACCGTTCAGCTGTTCCTGATTCCTGACCCACAGGAACTGGGAGATAACCAGTGTTTGCTGTTCTAAGCCACTGAGTTTGGGGGGTAATTTGTTACTGAGCCAGAGATCAATACGACAGCCGCTGTCACGAAGAGACGTGAGAGTGCAGGGGCTCTGACCCTCTAGTTTATTTCTGTCTCAGGAATATTCCAAAGAGAGGAGGTGAATCCTGCTTCACAAAACCATGCAGAGACCTGTGTTCCACGCTCTCGCTGTTCCGCCGCGTGCTAGGATATGTTCCTTGTTCATCTGTGAGAAGCCGGCTGACCAGTCACGTAGCCTATATTCTAACCTTATGGGAGGGGATGAAAGAGCGGAAAGACGGCATTTTCCTTGTAGGAATTCAAGTTTTACTTTTGTTCCCATTCCACTGGTGAGGGCTTAGTCACTGGGCCACACCTATTTGCAAAGAAGCCTGAAGAATGGAGTCTCAGGCTAGACAATCGCCCTGAAGCTCCGGGCAGGTCTGTAGTAACAGGAGGACAAGAAGGATGGAATTGGGTGGATGGAGGCCCAGCAACCTAACGTGCCCGTGTCCGACCCAGTGTTGGCACCTTCTCTGTGACTTGTAGTGACACTTCTCCAAGGCTGGTGGTTAAGACTCTGTGCTTCCACTGCCAAGGGCAGGGGTTCAATCCCTGGTTGGGGAACTAAGATCCTGCATGCCACATGGCTGAGCCAAAATAAATATACTAAAAACAAAAACAAAGATGACTGCACATGGTGTTTGCTAACTGACTTTTTATTTTTAACTCTTTATTTTATATTGCAGTATGATGGTTCATCAGTAAAGAACCCACCTGCTTACTGCAGGAGACTCAGGTTCGATCCCTGGGTTGGGAAGATTCCCTGAAGGAGGAAATGGCAACCCATTCCAGTATTCTTGCCTGGAAAAACCATGGACAGAGGAGCCTGGTGGGCTAGAGTCCACAGGGTCTCAAAGAATTGGATACTACTTAGCTTCTAAACGGCAACAGTAGTTGATTCACAATGTTGCTTTAATTTCAAGTGTGCAATAAAGTGATTCAATTATACAGATACCTGCCTCTATTCTTTTTCAAACTCTTTTCCCAGTTAGCTAGCCTATTTTTTAAGAATTAAAAATAAAATGAAGGATTGGATAAACTTGGTGGTTTTCAATTTTTGTGTGTGTGTGCCGGAGTGTTGTTTGTTAAGTAATATTTAAAAACAGACACTGCATGGAATAGAGATATAAAAACAGAACTAATTTGTTTAAATCATGTGGAGTTTCTCTCTGTTTTTCTAGCCCCCCCATTAGTGGGCCCACAGAAAACTGTTTCAAGCGCTAGAGGTCTGTGAGGCATGATCAGAAAGTCCCCAAGTGAGAAGTTCTCCTGGCCTCCTTCCCGTTCTGACATTTCTGAGGCTCTGATCACTCACCTGTGTTCCCTGCCCTGGGCTGGATCACAGCTCCGTCTTTCTGGGCAACTGGGGGCTTGTATCTGGCAGGTATTGGTGGAGGAAGATGGAAAGAACCTTTGCCCTGGGTCTCCAGCCTCGCCTCACTTCATCCCTTTTCTGACCTTGTGATGTATCTCTCCTTTCTCCTAAGGCAAGTGAGGGTCCCCCCATCCCACCCCATCTTTGGACCAGGGGTCTAGGCGAGGAGCTCTGAAGGCATGTTCCAGGAGGCCATCACACCACAGGTGGTCTTCAGGCCCACCCCTCGGATGGAGATGTGGAAATTCTCAGAGCAAGCATCCTCCCTCCCCAGGCTGATGCTTTTTCTAACCCTCTTGTCCTCTTCTGGGCTGTCACTGGCTTCAGCTGGATTAGGAGCTCAGGCTCTGACTTGCTGAGCTTTGGTCTGGTTTGTGAGTGAGTCCCCAGGAACAAAAGGGGACAGGCCTCCCCGCTCTGATTTTTCCCTACCCCAATTCTCAGAGTTCTCAAGAATACAGACTGCTGTAGGGAGAGTTAGCTAGGGAGAAGAGAGGTCCTTTCTTTTACTCCATGACCACTGAAAGCTGGCTCCTGCATGGGTAAATATTCCCCTCCCTGCTTCCTAGGTTCTTTCCAGAGAGATTTGGGGGTGTCAGCCACCTTCTCCCAGGCTGGCTCCAGAAGAAGTGGAATTTGGCAGAGACCTTAAGAAACAATCCCAGCCCATTCAGAAGGCTGGCGACCACTGCCCACAAACAGCGTTCTAAGAGTGGCAGTCCCACTCCTGGGCATGTGTCTGGAGGAAACCATAATCCAAAGATCCATGCAGCCCTGTGTTCATTGCAGCACTGTTTACAATAGCCAAGACACGGAAGCAACCTAAATGTCCACTGATGGATAAAAAAGATGTGGTACAAATATACAATGGAATGGTCAGTTCAGTTCAGTCAGTCAGTTGTATCCAACTCTTTGCAGCCCCATGGACTGCAGCACAGCAGGCCTCCCTGTCCGTCACCATCTCCTGGAGTTTACTCAAACTCATGTCCATTGAGTTGGTGATGCCATCCAACCATCTCATCCTCTGTCGTCCACTTCTCCTCCTGCCTTCAATCTTTCCCAGCATCAGGGTCTTTTCCAATGAGTCAGTTCTTTGCATCAGGTGGCCAAAGTATTGGAGTTTCAGCTTCAGCATCAGTCCGTCCAATGAACACCCAGGACTGATCTCCTTTAGGATGGACTGGTTGGGTCTCCTTGCAGTCCAAGGGACTCTCAAGAGTCTTCTCCAACACCACAGTTCAAAAGCATCAATTCTTTGGCACTCAGCTTTCTTTATAGTCCAACTCTCACACCCATACATGACTATTGGAAAAACCATAGCCTTGACTAGACAGACTCTGGAATGTTACTCAGTCCTAAAAAAGAATGAGGGACTTCCCTGGTGGTCCAGTGGCTCCCAAGACTACACGCTCCCGGTGTAGGGGCCCGGGTGTGATCCCTGATGAGGGAACTAGATCCCACATAAAACTAAAAGTTCTCACACCACAATTAAAGATACTGCCTGCTACGCAGCTAAGCCCCAGCACAGCCAAATAAATAAATAAGAGTGTAATCATTCCATTTGCAGCATGAATGGATGGAACTTGAGACTATCATACTAAGTGAAATGAGTCAAACAAAAATATATATGATATCACACATATGTGAAATTGAAAGATATATACAAATGAACTTATAAAGCAGAAACAGACTTCCAGATATAAAAAACAACCGTATGGTTACCAAAGGTGTGGCAGGGAGGGATAAATCAGGAGTTCAGCATAAACAGACACATGCCACTAGATAAGAGATAGTTACCCAAAAAAGGACCTATTGGATGGCACCGGGAACTCTCCTCAGCTCTCTGGAAAGAGTATACTCATATTCTAGGTGAGGAAAGAAGCTAAAAAAGAATGAATACATGTATATGTATACCTGAATCACTTTGCTGTACATCTGAAGCTAATACAACACTATATATCAACTACATTCCAATAAAATTAAAATAAAAAAAATAGACATCTATTTGAGAAATAAACTCAAAGGAATGGCCGGGGTAGGCTGGGGACTGGGAGAAGATGAGGGCCAGTGGACTTTCCCAGGCTTCTTACATTTCTGGGTAAGACGTTACAACACAATGATGGAAGGTCGATTTACCCCGTGGGTTGGAGGCAACCCAGTCTGCAGGGGGGGAGGCAGATCCAGTGTGAGAAAACGGCTATGGGCAGCGATGACTGGAAGGCAGGCAGGCATGTCCTTGTCCCATTGGGACCACCGCTGCTCAGACTCACCACGTGCAGATGTGGGCTCACAGCGCCTTTCCACGTTTTAAGAAAAACTGGAAATCTGAATGTTGTGCAACATTTCCCGGTTATCGAGAAGTTGCATGGAAAACAAAATGCCCTCTGCCAGTGGGTTTCGCTCAGTGATGCAGTGCCCTTGCCCAATACATCTTCCTGACTCTAGCGTGTGTCAACAGTCCTTAGTTTTTCTTTTAAAGATTTTTTTTTTTTTGGAATGAGAACCATTTATTGAATTTGTTACAATCTTGCTTCTGTTTTATGCTTTGGTTTTTTGGCCCCCAGGCATGTGAGATCTTAGCTCCTTGACCGAGGAGCAAACCCGAACCCCCCTGCACTGGAAGACGAAGTCTCAACTACTGGACCACCAGGGACGTCCTACTAGCTCTCAATTTTTAATCCAAGTCAGAGATGAGTCCTGGCATTTGCAAGCGGTGTTCATGGCATGCCAAGGGGCTTTGATCACTTTCCCATTGCTCTTGTGATAAATCGCTGCTAACTTCATGGCTTAAACAATGCACATGTATTATCCTACAGTGTGGTGGGTCAGAAGACTGGCACAGGATTCACTGGGCTAAAATCAAGCTTTGTCAGCCAGCTACCTTCTGTTCTGGAGGATCTAGGAGAGAATCCATTTTCTTGCCTATTCCAGCTTCTAGAAGTGCCCACATTCCTTACACCACAGCTCCCATCCTTGTCTTCGAAGACAGCAATGGGTCCTCAGATCAAGTTTGAAAAGGCTCTGTGCTTTTTAAGGACTCATGTGATCAGGCCTCAGTGGATACTTCAGTGGAATCTTCCCACCGTGAGGTTGCGCGGTTTTTAAGGTAATCAGTGACTGTGCTGGGTCTTGATTGCTGCGCACAGGCTTTCTCTGGTTGTGGTGAGCTGGGAGAGCAGCGCTCCTCTCTAGTTTGGGTGCTCGGGCTGCTCGTTGCTCTGACTTCTCTTGTTGCAGTTGGAGGCCTCTAGAGCGCAGGCTCAGTAGTTGTGGCACAAAAGCTTAGTTGCTTCATGGCATGTGGGATCTTCCCAGACCGGGGATCGAACCCATATCTACTGCATTGGTAGGCAGGTTCTTAACCCCTGGACCACCAGGGAGATCCCAAGGTTTTGGTTTTAATTACATGTGCAAAATACCCTTTGCCACAGAGGTAATATATTCCGAGATTCTGGGGTTTAGAGAATCAGCAGGGCTCCTCCCTAAACTTTTCTATCATTTGCTCATTTCTTCTGCAAAAAAAAAAGTACTGAGGACCGAAACTTGTGGTAAATAGGGTTTATCTTTCTGCATAATCTAGTCCACTCTTTTTCTGTTCAGATTTCCATTTCCTTAGAATATGTTTCTTTTTTTTTCTTTCTATTTTCTTTCTAGTTGAGGTATAGCTGATTTACAACATCATATAAGTTTCAGGGGTACAACATAAGGATTCACGATTTCTAGAGGTTATATTCCATTTATAGTTATAATAAAACACTGGCTATATTCCCTGTGCTATACAATATATCCCTGCCCTACTGGGCTCCTTCCCACTTTCTTCTCCCCACTGGTAACCACTAATTTGTTCTATAGAACTGTGAGTCAGTTTCTGCTTTGTTACATTCACTATGTTGTTTTATTTTTTAGATTTCACATGTAAGTGATATCATACAGTGTTTGTCTCTGTCCGACTTATTTCACTTAGCAGAATACCTTGCAAGTTCACCTATGTTGTTGTGAATGGAAAAATTTTATTAGTTTTTAATGGCTGAGTTTTTAATTGGGCTTCCCTGGTGGCTTAGCAGTAACGAATCTGCCTGCAATGCAGGAAACTTGGGTTTGATCCCTGGGTGAGGAAAAGCCTCTAGCGAAGGAGATGGCAAGTCACTCCAGTAGTCTCTCTTGGGAAACCCCACGGATAGAGGAGCCTGGCGGTCTACAGTCCACAGGTTCACAAAAGAGCCGGACGTGACTTAGCGACTAAACAACAACAGCAACAATATTCCACTGGGTATACACACCACATATTCTTCATCTATTTATCTGTTGATGGGTACTTAGGTTGTCTCTAGATCTTGGCTATTGTAAACAATGCTGCTATGAACATTGGGCTGCATGTGTCTTTTTGAGTTAATGCTTTCATTTTCATCTTTTTTTCCCCCCAGTAAATACCCAGGAGTAGGATTGCTGGATCATATAGTAGTTCTATTTTTTTTGGAGAAATCCCCCAAACTGGTTTCCAATGCAGCACCAATTTACATTCCCACAAACAGTGCACGAAGGTTCCTTTTTCTAAGGGATCTGTTTGGGGGGGGGGGCCCTTCAGTGCAGCGTTGCCGCATCCTCTCCAGCGATATTCTCAGCTGCTGGTCTGCTTTCTAGCTCCATCTGCTGCCTCGGCGTGCAGAAACAGAAGCTCTCTCTTCACCCCCGCTCCCTGAGCAGCTTCTCAGCTGGGATTAGTCACAGGGTGAAGGACTGGGCAAACATTCCTCCTTCTCCCCAGAGTCTCCAAGAGCCCTGGGGTCAGCAGTGAGGGTTTGAGTCGACACTGGATGGGGCAGGCTGGGAGGATGATGAGTTGGGCCTGAGTCACAGTTCCCCGGGGGCCTGAGGCTCTGCCAGTTAGAGGCACAGGCTGCGTCTAACAAGAGCACCTTTATTCCTGTTCATTTTCCAGTTCTATGCTTGGGTCCAACCGGTCCATTGTGTGAGGACTGGATGCAGGAGGCTGGACTTATTATTTTTTTATTTTAATATTTTTTGTTTGGCTGCGCTGGGTCTAAGCTGCAGTACACGGCAGCCTTAGCTGCAGCATGTGGGATCTAGTTCCCTGACCAGGGATTGAACTCAAGCCCCCTGCACTGGGACTGTGGAGTCTTAGCCACTGGACTACCACGGAAGTCCCAGGAGCCTGGACTTTTAATGCCGGTTTGGGCAGGTGGTGGCTCCTTGGTGGCTCAGAGGGTAAAGCATCTGCCTGCAATGTGGGAGACCCAGGTTCTATCCCTGGGTCGGGAAGATCTCCTGGAGAAGGAAATGGCAACCCACTCCGGTACTCTGGTCTGGAAAATCCCACTCATGGAGAAGCCTGGTAGGCTACACAGTCCATGCAGTCGCAAAGAGTTGGACACGACTGAGCGACTTCACTTTGGGCAGGTGTGAGTGAGACCCATTTGTGACAGGTGACCCTCTCTGCCCCCCTGGAGGGTAGAACTGATTCTGTGTGGTCACCGGGCTGTGCCCTTCTATTCTGTCTCTTGACCCCTGTAGGTCCCCAAAACACACATGTACCCTTAAATGGTGGAGGTGGAGGGACGAACTCCAGTGTGATGGCCACACACACAGACGCTGGAGCCAGAGCTGCCGGGGAATCTGAGCTCCTCCGCTCACTATTTGTGTGCATGGTGTGTTCAGTCCTCTCCAACTCTTCGTGACCTCCATGGCCTGAAGCCCTTGGGGCTCCTCTGTCCACGGGATTTTTCCAGGCAAGAATTCTGGAGTGGGTTGCCACTTCCTACTCCAGGGGATTTTCCCTGCCCGGGGATCAAACCCGTGTCTCTTGCATTTCATGCACTGGCAGGAAAATTCTTTATCCTTAGGAAAATTGCCACTGCTGCTAAGTCACTTCAGTCGTGTCCGACTCTCTGCGACCCCATAGATGGCAGCCCACCAGGCTCCACTGTCCCTGGGATTCTCCAGGCAAGAACACTGGAGTGGGTTGCCATTTCCTTCTCCGATGCAGGAAAGTGAAAGGGAAGTCGCTTAGTCATTTGACTCCTAGCGACCCCATGGACTGCAGCCTACCAGGATCCTCCATCCATGGGATTTTCCAGGCAAGAGTACTGGAGTGGCTTGCCATTGCCTTAGGAAAATTACTTAACCTCAATTTCCTGGTTTCCAAGTACTGACAAGGAAATCACTTCACATGGTTTTCAATGACTTAATATCTGTAAAGACAGAAGAGTGCCTGGGCCAGAGCCACAATATGGCTTTTGTTAAATAATAATAATATACACACATATATATGGGCAATATATATACATATATACACACACATACACATATATATATACACATATATACCTATACATATATACACACATATATACATATATATACACACATAAATGGGAGATATGTACATATGTATGCATATATATACATATATATGGGAGATACATATATATATTTATATGTATATATATGTATTTATATATATATGGCTTCCTAGCTGGTGTTAGTGGTAAAGAATCTGCCTGCCAATTCAGGAGGCATAAGAAACCTGGGTTGGATCCACCTGTCAGGAAGATCCCCTGGAAATGGCAACCCACTCCATTATTCTCACCTGGGAAATCCCATGGACAGAGGAGCCAGGGGAGAGAGGTAAATTAATGTCACCAACACCCATATGGCTGTGTGCTGGGGCCAAGGGTCCTAGCTGTCAGATCTTTTGGCCCCATCTTCCCACCACTGTAATGTGATTATGGGATGCAAGTGTCAAACGAGAGCTTTCTAACACTAAGAGCTAGTAATATGTAATGATTCTGGACCATCAAAAATGGCCAAGCAAGGGACTTCTTGGGTCAGCCAGTGGTTAAGACTCCAAGGCAGGAGGCATGGGTTCAATCCCTGGTCAGGGAACTAAAATCCCATCTGCCTTGCAGTGTGGTCAATAAATAAATAAAAATAATCTCTCTTTGCTTCAGTTAAAAAGAAAAAAAAAATGGCCAAGCAAATGAATGCTTGATAACTATCATCAAGTGACTTATTGTAAAGGCAATTTATTTATGCCTGTGGAAAGTGGAAATCGTTCATCTGTGAAGGCATCTTTGAGCTTTGAGATTCTGAGTTTCTGTACTTTGGGGTAGAATCTATGCTTTAGTTATATTAAGTGATTTTTCTTCTGTATTTTTCACTTCCTTTTATATCCCATCCTTTTCTTCCACTCATGCAGATGTTCTGGGAACACACTGCCCGTTTTTTTTGTTTTTTATTTTTTTTGGCCACTGGAATCTTAGTTTTTTGACCAGGGATTGAATCTGCACCTTCTGTCAGTGAAAGTGCAGAGTCCTAACCACTGGACTGCCAGGGAATTTCTGGGAAACACACCCTTTTAAAAAGAAGGGTGTGGTGGGAAAAAAAAAAAAAAAAGAGAAGGATGTGGTGGCTGGCAGTTTGGCAGTTGGAATACTAAAAAAGACCGTACTATTCACTCTGGTGGTTGACTCTATTTTTGGACGAGATTTACTAGGGGGATTATGTTACCCTCTTCCGAGGAAAACCTGGAAAGATTAGAAGAGGAAGCAATCACATCACCTCTCCACCCCTCGTCTCCAATTTCTTGGCATGAGGCAAAAACCCAACTCATGATTTAGGGCTGGGATTGATTTAAGGTTAATATTCTGCTCTTCCACGAGAATGGGGGACTTGATATAGAAAGCAAACTGCCTTTTTGAAAATAAGTTATATTGCGTTTGCCAAAAAGCTCGTTCGGGACTGGAAAGCCCCGAGTGCATTTTTGACCACCCCAGTATTTCTTACACACCGGAGTTTGTGAACAGAGACCTATTTTAAGCTTCGAAGATACCAGTGTGCGGAGTCCCATCCCAGGTTGCAACTTTGACTTTTGGTTCTCTGCTGCCCCCGGGTGGACATAAACGGAAATAACAAGATATCCTTACAGCGGGCATTGGAATCGGACTTGGCAGAAAACTCCCTTAAAAACTGGAAACGTTAGTCGCTCAGTCGTGCCCGAGTCTTTGTGATCCCATGGACCGTAGCCCGCCAGGCTCCTCTGTCCCTAGAATTCTCCAGGCAAGAAGACTGGAGTGGGTTGCCATGTCCTTCTCCAGGGGATCTTCCCGACCCAGGAGACCCAAGACCCCTGGTCTCCTGCATCGCAGGCGGATTCTTGACTGTCCGAGCCGCCAGGGATGATCCCCCTTAAGAATCATTGGAGGCACAAGGGCTAGTGCGGGCTCAGGACCCTTAGAGGGGAGCCAGGGACGGCCCTCGGGAAGAGAGCTGCAGACTCAGACAAGCTGTCAGTGATTCAAGAGGCTCGCGTCGTTTTCACCATTTTTATTTTTCCTGGAGACGCTTGGATCCAGTAAGCGAGCGATCAGCGATAGACTCGAAGTCATGCACCTCTGCCATTTTTGGGCCACGACCAGCACCCGCGGGCTCGGCGCCAAGCCTCCCACACCTCTTCCTGCCGTGTTTGGAGTAACAAGTCTGCAGGCTTTTCTCTTAGCTTTTCGCACCATCTCATCACCGTCTGTCTCTCTGCTCCTGGCCCCACACAACTCGACATCATCACAGCCGTGCCTGCCGCCTCCCCGACTCTCCCCGCAGGGGCACAGGGCAGAGCGGGTCCTTACCAGAGAGGGAGGGGAACACTTGAGCACAAAGAAGAGAAGGGGCCTTGAATCTCCGGGACCACCCTGCCTGGAATCCAGGACCCCAGCTGCCTCCCTCCCAGGCCAGCTCCCTCCTAGGTGACTGTCACCCTGCCCAGCTCACCCCTCCCCATCCCCTCGCAACAGACAGCAGCTGTGGCCTGGGGCCATGTCCCAGCCCTCTAAGGAGAGTAAGGGTTCACTCCATCTCCCCCCCACCTGCCCCCTGGGCCTCCGCTGTCCAGCTGGGATCCAGGGACCCACAGGCCTGGCCTGACCTCCCTATCCCACCCCTCATGCCTCCAGCCCCTGCCGCAGCCTGCGGTCCAAGGCCAGGAGCTGCCTCAAGAAGCCCCGGTTGGGGATGATGCCTCGGTGGTCCTTGACTTTCTTGATGGCCTCCACGAGGGTGAGGCGGTGGTACAGCATGAGGTAAGCCAGCACCAGGGTGGCCGAGCGGCTCACGCCCACGGCGCAGTGCACCAGGATCCTCCCTGTGAACACAGACAGACGGAGAGAGGCAGCTGGGGGACCGTGCGCTGGGCTGGAGGAGGCTGGGGACAGGTGAGGAGGAAGACAGGTAAGCAGAGATGCTTGGAGGCACAGATAGGGGGACGGTAAGAATCTGAATCCCGGCAAATGGGGACACACAGACGGGAAGACACGGAAAACCTGGAGCAGTTCAGCATCCATAAGCCCAAAATGGACTCGAAGAGGGACTTGCCTGTTGGTCCAGCAGCTAAGACCCCAAGCTCCCAATGCAGGGGGCCCCAGTCCAAGACCTGGTCAGGGAACTAGATCCCTCATGCCACAGTTAAGATCCAGAACAGCCAAATAAATAAACAAATAAATATTTAAAACATAACTAACATAGAGCTTAAAAAATAAGAGCTTGAAGGGAGACACTCAAGATTAATGCAAAACCCAGCTTTGTACCAAGTAGAGTTTCCGCTTGATACTCGCTGAGTGTATCCATGGAAAATCCTTTGTGTCTAACTTGGCCCTTCCTCAGTCTCCCATCCATTCTGGGGGGTGGGGTGGTGGTGGTGTGTGTGTGGGTGATCAGTATATATTTTTTCCCATTTTAAAAAATCTTTTTTTTTTTCCTGCGCAATGAACAGCATGTGGGAATCTTAGTTCTCCAACCGAGGATTGAACCCACACCCCTACATTGGAAGAGTAAAGTTTTAGCCACTGTCCCAATACATCTTATATTTTTTAAATAAAATACTTTTTACTTTAAAAAATAAAATATTTTTATATCTTAAATGTATATATACATGTATATATACATATATACATATATATATATTCTCATCACTAAAGCAAGACAGGCAAAGCAAGAATTGTTAGAAAGTCTAGAAATATGCAAAGAAGGCAACAATTAAAAAAATATATATCTCCCATAATCTTCCCGCCCAGGGGCAATTTGCCACTCTCCCGACATTTGGGATTATTTCCTTCTTTTTATGGATTGCATTGAAAAGATGGTTGAGAGAAGAGTTTTCTTTACTGAGCATCTATCACATCACTCAAGTCTCTCTCTCCCCACAACCGGAGCCCCGGGCTCTGCTCTAACTCAGGGTCCGTGGGGCCACCCCCCGCCTCGCTCCCCTCCCTTCCTACCTCCTGGCTGGCTCAGCGCCCGGTGGATGAAGTCGGCGGCCGCCTGGAAGTGGACGCTCATGTCGAAGGCCGGCGAGTCGTGGGCCTCGACACCCAGGTAGCGGATGCCCAGCCCCTCGTAGGCTTCGGGCGTCCCTCGCCACCGGCTGTGAGAGGCGTTGAGGACGTGCGTGATGCCCAGGCGACGCAGCTCACGGTGGTTGTTGGCTATTTCCCTGCATTGAGGAGCAGAGATTGGAGGGGGTGAGGCTGCGGGATGGGACCAGACACCCCTGATCACCGCCCGGCCAACATCACTGGCTCCAGGCCTTCCTTTCTCTTCCTGAGGACCCGGGATTCGAAATGACTCTGAGTCTTGTCCTGGAGCAAAGCTGGGGAGTCCTGGAGAGATTTTTGGTCTGGGGGAGAGAAGACAAGAGAGACAGGCAAACTGCAGCCCTGATAACATACGGAAAGATGCTCGGAGGCCACAGGATTTTATTAATACTTGATCCGTGAGAAAGAGCAACAGGGTTTGTACTTCATGGGAGGAAGTACCTGCCAACAGTGGCATCTAGCTGGAGAAAGATTGGGGCATCTCGGGAGAGACAGGTTTTCTTCACACCAGGGCATTCAGGTAGAGAGAGGAGGTCAGTGGATGGGTCTGGACATGGCAGGGAGGATCTGGACACTGGATGGCTTGTTGGAGCAGCTCACGTTTAACCTTGTAACCTTGAATTGCTTTGGTTCTCACCACTCCTCCATTACTTGATTTTTATAAAACTATTTTTTTTTTCTGGCTGTCCATGTGGCCTGCAGGATCTTAGTTCCTTGACTAGGGATCGAACCTGTGCACACTGAAGTGGAAGCAGGGAGTCCTAAGCACTGGACAGCCAGGGAAGCTCCTTTCCCGTTTAGACTCTCTCTGATGCCCAGAATCTTCTTGTGTTTTGCCAGTTACTCCAAGCCCATGGTTACCCTGCGGATGTCACCTGCAGGGGTTTCCGTGGTTCACAGCCCTCAGCTCATGCCAACAGGGTCATATCGAATGCCCTGTCTAGTGCCAGCTCCTGGAGCCGAAAGCACCCTGAACTTGAACCTCTAAGTCCTGGGCTCTGCTTCTTACGACCCGTGGGACCTTGGGCCAGTCCCAGCTTCTCTGAGCTTCCAATTCCTCCTGTGTAACCTGGGGATAGTGGTACCTACCTCACCAGGCTATCATGAAGATCAACAGAGAAAAAGCCTGTGAAAAACTCCTCGTAGGCTCTAAAGCTCTCGGATAAGACCTCTAGGGCCTCCTTTCTCTGACTCCCGTCTCTCTGTCGCCCCCATCTGGCAGAGCCTCTGCATACTCTGTGGCTTGGCTTGGTTCCCCCGCCCCTTTTTGTTATATGTGCTAAATCGCTTCAGTACGACTCTTTGTGACCCTATGGACTGTAACCCACCGGGCGCCTCTGTCCACGGGCTTCTCCAGGCAAGAATACTGAAGTGGGCTGCCATGCCCTCCTCCAGGGCATCTTCCCGACCCAGGGATCGAACCCAGGTCTCTTACATCTTCTGCATTGCCAGGCGGGTTCTTTACCATTAATGTCACCTGGGGCACCACTCGCCTTACCAGCCACTGTTCCTGGCCCCAGTGATAGCTTTTTCTCAGGGCACAAAGATGGACGGTCAGATAAGTCATCTATGATGTCCAGCCCACAGCACTGGCATATGAAAATGCTAATGCATTGTGCTAAATGAATGACACGATTACGCGAACAGAGCCTGTCTGTCCAGAATTGGGTCTATCAGTAATCCTGTCCAACCTAAGAGACACTGGTTCGATCCCTGGGCCTGGAAGATCCCCTAGAGGAGGGCCAGGCAACCCACTCCAGCATTCTTGCCCGGAGAATCCCATGGACAGAGGAGCCTCCTGGGCTACAGTCCATGGGGTCGCGAAGAGTCCAACTTGACTGAAGTGACTTAGCACATAGGTAATCCTGTCCACCCTCCCCAGCCCTCCAGACTCCACTCTACCCATGTACCCCCTCCCTTCCATCCTCAATGTGGAACCAGCAGCACAACTCCACGCCTCTCTGCCACCCTTCTTTCTTCTTGCACACACACACACACACACACACACACACACACACACGCAGCCGTGGCCCCAGTCAGCCGGGTACGTACTGGTCTCCGAGGTAGAGGCCTGGCCAGACCTCGTCGGCGTGGTTACAGGCGGTCTTGCCCGTGTAGAGCAGCCTCTCCAACTCGAAGACGTTGAGGAAGGGGTGCTGGACGGCGGGCGGCTCCTCCAGGGCGCCTCTCACCCGGACGGGAGACCTCGAGCCGCTCCGGGAGAAGCGGGCCATGAATGTCACCGAAGCCCAGAGCCAGTTGCCGGGACACATCTTAGAGGCGGCAGGAGGCCTGGCAGCCACCGGGGTGCTCGAGGTGAGGCGGGGCGGGTGTCCAGGTGGCAGCTGCCGGCAGAGGCGGGGGTGTGAGTGCCGCCTGAGCGCGTCCGGGGCGGCGGGGTCCCTTCCCGCCCCCGGGGAGAAGGTTCTGGAGAAGGACGGTGAAGTCTGGCCCTGGGAGGGGCGGGCGCTCTGGACGGTCGTCTCCTTTGAGCGGCAGCAGCTCCTGTCGCCCTGCTCTTTGGCTCCGCCAGCCAAGGAGGTGGGAGCATCACATGTTCTTGTTTACGGGCCGAGGCAGCGGCCCAGCTGCTGGGCGTCTGCTCTGCCACCCCACCCCCACTCCGCACACACAGAGTCAACACACACACACGCACACGCACGCACACACATTTGGGATCTGGGTGGCAGGGCCCAGTGCTGGAAGCCCTGCCAGCCCGCGTCTGGGTCTCATCTGCCTGGGGCTGCTGGCAGACAGGCTGGGGAGCTGGGAGTGGGGCTTGGGGGGAGGTTCTGGATCCATCCAGAAGGAGTTGGCCTGAAGCCAGCAGCAGTTGGGGCCAGCGACACAGCCCCGCCGGCCTAGGGGGGTGGGGTGGTGGTGGTGGATGGGGGGAGATGGGCCGCTTTAACCCCTTCCTGCCCTGCTCTGGGAAGTCCAGCCGAGGGGATGATGGGGTGCGTAGGGGAGAGTAGTAAAGAGGAAGCTGAAGTTTTTGAAAAACACTCGCTGAAGACCCGGGTTAATGGAAGGAAGCGCCAGTTATCTGGGCAACACAGGCAAAGCAGCCTCCCTTGGTCAACGTAACAGATGTCACTGATTAAACCTCATCTCTCTGGGTCCAGGCAGGGCTGGAGTACTCTGTGTGTGTGTGGGTGGGTGTGTGGGTGTGTGGGTGGGTGGGTGTGTGAGTGGTTGTGTGTGTGGGGGGTACCTTCCTCTATGCTCATGATGTTTTGTTTCCCCTTAGAAAAATTTTCAGGATCTTTAGTGTTATTGCAAACTTGGTCCTACCACTTCTTGAGAAAGCTGAAAGGAGTGTAAATGCAGAGTCAGGGGTGTCCTTTGTCAAACGAGGTTCATTTTGCTCTGGGTGGGGAGGGCTGCTGGGTGGCTGGGGCGGCACCAGGAGGCAGACCCGCTTCTCACTGCAGACCCTCTGCTGTGATCCTCGGCACCTGTAGTCACAGGCAACCCAGATCAACACCCCTGTGTGTGCGCATGTGCACAAACACACACAAGTGCATGTGCACGTGAGCCTGAGCGCCGCTGTTGGGATTGGCTTGGACACTCTCCAGTGCAGCTGAGTCCCCAGAGAGGCAGGTGGGATCATGGCTATGATGGCTTTGCCCCGATGTCTTCTGAGGTTGGGACGGGGTGGCCCTTGGCTGCAAGTCCTTGCTCGCCACCGAAAACAAGCAAAACACTGTCTTCAACCATGAAAAGGACTGTGGACCAAAGTCCTGTGCAGCTGTCTTGTTGGGAAGAGAACACGTCTCCACATGAGCATATGCATGCCTGCTCACACATGCCCATGCTCGTGCAGGAAGTCACCTGCACACACACAAACACGCACCTCCACTGTGAGGTCTTAGTGCGTGTGCAGNCGCCGCGGCCCCGCTACCTCGGGAGGCGGCGCGGGTCTCAGTCCCGGAGGCGGATCGCAGGCGCAGGCAGCCCCACGGCCATGACTCCGCCGCCGCCTCGGTCTGGCTTGGCAGACCGGTTGACGGATTAGCATCTATTTTTAAGCCATTACACGCACGTCGAAGCGGGGCTGGTGTCGGTGTGCGCGTGTGTCGGCGACACGCAGGGACCCGGTCTCGCACCCGGGGGCCCGAGCGGACCGGCGGCGTGGGCCACGCAGCCCGCACCCCCTGCGGCCCCGCCTCGCGGGCATGCTCGTGTGTATGTGTATTTTCGGAGCTGCGCCAATGACAGGCACTTTGCCTAAAGCTGACATTATGTAAGGCGGCCCAGACGGTGTCTTGAGCACACACGCTCCTCCCCGGCAGCATTAATTACACAGACTCCAGGACGATGCCCACTCACTTGTACATGTCTCCTGCGCCAGAACACTGTGGCGCAAATAACTCTTGTCCTTAACCCTGATTAGTATTTTCTAAGCACGGTGTACCCTCTGCTCCACAGATCTTAACTCATTTTATCTTCATCGCAGTCTCTGAGGGAGGAGAGGATATTGTTATTGTGCCCATTTTAGGGAGGAGGAGATGGAGGCATCCAGAGGCTAAGTAATTTGCCCAGGGCACTCCCTAGGCTCTGCCTGGCAGCCTGGTTGCCTGCCTGGGAAGTTCAATTCCTAAGGGCTTTCTGAACAGGTGTCAGCCCTTCCATCCAACACCTCCCAACACACACACAATGGAGAAGGCACAGTGGATTTCTCTTTCTTTTTTTGAAAAGGTATTTATCTGGCTGCTCCGGGTCTTAGCTGTGGCATGTGGGATCTAGTGCCCGGACCACGATGGAACTCAGTCCCTCTGCACTCGGAATGTGGAGTCTTTACTGAACCACCAGTTCAGCACAGTGGCTTTTTATCAGGAAGCCATTTTCACCAGCTCAGCTCCTTGTGAATTTCCTTTTCCTCTGCTCCTGAAGAAATTCACATGTTGCCTTTTGGTGATACTTAGCTTCACTTGCTTTTCTACCCTAAGTACCTTCTTGGTTCCCTTATTGTAAACACTTCAAAGGCAAGGACTGTGTTGTGGTCCCTGGCGCCTGGCTTACTGTGTGATGGGGGTGGGTTGGGGGCAGGAATGAATGTTATCTGGTGATGCTTTAAAAAGACAGCCTCCAGGCAAGCTGCCTGGCAGGAGGAAGGCAGGAAGAAGACAAGGTCAGGCTGGACCTGGCTGGGGATGAGTAGATGGTATACCTACTGTAGCTGAAACCAGGATGGACTCCATTCCTAGAGGGAGAGTAGGTCAGGCTTTGAAATCCGAGTCAGAGAAAGTGACACAGTCCCCAGGTCAACTCCATCACGGGATGCCAGTAATACCCCTTCTACACAGTCTATTCTGCTCTAAAGAAGCAAATACAATTCCTCTTCCTTTTCCTTGTGCCTTCTTTGTATGGAAGTTTACATTAAGAAGTGAAATCTTCATCACTGAAAACAAAAACTCTCCTGGAAAATTGGGATTTGTCAATTCAGGGAAACTTTGGTAAAGAATGGTCACAGGGGACTTCCCTGGTGGTCCAGTTGTTAAGACTCCTCATGTCCAATGCAGGGGGTATGAGTTCAATCATTCAGTTGGGGGAACTAAGATCCCATATGCCACATGGTGCTGACAAAAAGTAAACATTAAAAAGAAGAAATGGTTCTGAATCAAACTGTTAAAGAGCATATGTCATACACTAACTTCATTAGAAGTGCCGGAGACTTTAGGGTTGGTAGGTTGAGAAGATGTTGTAGATGATACTTCATCTCAGTCTTTAGTTGAGATCTAAATCTTTCAACCCTGCATTGCACTTTTCTCAAAAAGCTGGGAAAATATGCTTTAAAGCATACTATAGACAATTTGGCCAGATGTAACCATAGAAATTGCCCATGGATCAAGATCTTCATGAGGACGGGGTCAACCTACAACTCAAGTGGCTTCATACTTTTCTTTGTAACTTCTTAGAAGGCTTATTATGTTTCCAGGTGACACCCAGCTGAACTAAAGATGGAGAGGGAGGGAGAATGGAAGAAAGAGTTAGTAAGAAGGTAATGGAGAGGATTCGACAGGTAATGAGCGGAAGGAAAGAGAATAAGCATGTATCGATAACTTACTATCACCAATTCTTTGGATTTCCACATTTATGAACTCATTTAATCCCACTCCCCTTGAGGTGGGTGTTATTATCTTTGTTCAATACATGAGGAGATTGATACTTGGCCAGATTAGTTAACTCACCCACAGCTAATTAGTGCCAGAACAGGGGTTCAATCCCAGGACTATCTGATTCCAAACTTTTATATTTCAAGATGAGGTTGAAGTGGCGCTGCTTCTACAAAGCCTTTCTTGATCTACTCTTACTTGTTCTTTTCCTTCTTTGCGCTTATAATGACTTCTAGCAAAGGATGTATGGGCTAGTAACTCATGATTTGCTACATTTATTTAAATGTCTGTTCTCATTATTAGAAGTTATGAATGGATTCACCACACTGGGATGAAAAGAACAGAGATGATTTTAAAAAAAAGGCAGATAGGAATAGATTTCCAAGTGGTTTCTAAAGACATACTTCTTCTAAAAAATAAATACATGGAGAGAGAGAGGGAAAAAGAGTTCAGTATGAGCAAAGAGAAGGAAAAACAGGCAAGACTAGGAAATACATGTTAAACAGTAGTTCTAACTGCTACGGTTTAACTATGGACTCTGTGCTACTGGGTTAAATGCTGTCCATCTGTTAGCCAATTTAATCCCATAACGTAGATAGTATTAATTCCATTTCCTAGTTGAGGAAGTAGGTTTTGTAGTGGTAAACCCATTCCGAAGCAGCCAAATAGCTAATCATTGGGATTTGGGCATGGTTTTAAACCTAGAACTGTTTAAAACCAAAACCTGGGCCTCAAAGCACTGTAGAATAAGGGAAAACCATGGTAATAGTGTGCGTGCATGCTAAGTCACTTCAATCGTGTCTGACTCTTTGCGACCCCGTGGACTGTAGCCCACCAGGCTCCTCTGTCCATGGGATTTTCCAGGCAAGACTACTGGAGTGGGTTGCCATGCCTTCCTCCAGGGGATCTTCCCTACTTAGAGACAGAGAGCAAGTCTCCCGCTTTGCGGGCATGTTCTTTAGCACTCGGGCCACTTGGGAAGCCCAACAGTTGGTGTATCAAGCTCTATTTTGTGCCAAGAATGTAGCAGGACTTCCAGGAATTACCCGCTGGAAGCCAGAGCAAGCCATTCTCAAGCACCCCGCCCCCACGGTCCCTCAGAGGGCGTGGCTCCCGGGTGGCAGGCTCTGCAGGTTTTGGAGCTTGGGGGAGGTGGCCTTTAGTCCCCCGGGGGTCACCCGACGCCCTGTAATCCTTTGCCGTAAGTAGAGAAATGCAGGTCGAGACGGACCTGGCTTCCTCCCAGCCACGCCCTCCGCACTGCCATGCCTGTCGGTCGCGGGCTGGTCCACCCCGAGCTCAGCTGCAGGTTTAAACGTCCCCTTTCGTGTACAGGTTCAGGCCACAGAGCACCGACAGGTATGACTGCATTTACCGATGGGGGTGTG